GGATTGGCATCAGCCGCATCGGTGTGTCGGGGATTGGCATCAGCCGCATCGGTGTGTCAAGGATTGGCAGAGACTACAGGTGGGCTGACCTGATCGGCTTGCCAAGCCGACCCGGCATGGTCAGTGCGCTTAGTCGCACAAATCTCGCCTAACCTGCAAAATTATCTAAGCAACCTTACCTAACCTTATTACTACAAATTTATTAATAATACATTTAAAATGTCTTTTATAAATATAAATAAGGCAAGTTATTTCTAGGCATTAGAAACACTATATCTTACTACTTTAAGCTGCGTATGTTAAATATGCTAGCTTAAAAACTTATCCTAGCACCTTTAAGCTGTAGAAGAAAAATGTAAGTAAAGCTAAGTAGGTTAATGTATTACTAATGTATTAACAATGCATTAGAATAAAGGCTAGGTTAAAATCACTCTAGGTGAACTTTTATGCTGCTTAAATCTTGCAGAGGACAAGAATAAGGGTGTAGAAGTAGAGTTTTATAATTAAAAAGTAAAACATCTTTATAATTAATTCTTAATTTATTACTAATACATTAAACACTTTTTTCTACTAATGTAACGATCCTCATGAATCGTTCCATCTCGGATGGCCCGGAAGGCCCCCGTATCGGCCCCGACCCCGACCTGGCCCCGACCCCTGCTGTTACCCCTATTCCCTCATGTATTTAGTCGCACCTCGCCCCCGTAGCTAGCTCGGTAGTTTTCTGATATCCTACGTACAAGGCCTATAGGTGTCATTGGTATTCCCAGGTCTCTGAGTCCCCACGCACTCCTATATGCCTCTGAGTGGATTCATACCGCATTCAGACCCATTGTCTTGCCTGCGCCGTTACAACTAATAGTAATTTATGTGCGCATGTTAAAGCTTATAAAGTGTAGCTAGTAAAGCCTTACGCTAGTACACTTAGTCTAAAGAAGTTAAGAGCTGTTAAAAGTAAAAGTCTTATAGTATTATATCCTTAATCTATTACTAATGTATTACCTTTAGAGTTTTATAATAATCTTTTATAAGCCTAGAACTAAATATATAACTCTAATAAAAATATTACTAGCTCTAGTAAGAAATATATTATTCTTTAAAATAGTTTTTTGCTAATAAATTAATATTAAAGACTTCTACTAAAGGTTTTTCTATTTTAAAGCCTTATAAACGTCGCCCTTATGTCCCTATTAATAAGACTAGAAAGAATAAAGGTAAAGTAAATAAGATTTAATGCATTATAAATATATTAGGACTTTATTAAAATATTTATAAGTTAACCTTTCTTGCGCTTACTTAGAAGCTAGAGTAAAAAGTAGGTGTTACACTGCGTGCCTTACTGCAAAGCGTAAAAGTAAGTATATACTAATACTTTAATAATGCATTGCTAATTTATTAATAGCCTATTTTACTAATATCTCTACTATAAGTAGAGATACTAACTGCCTAGTGTAGGCTAAGTTTATAGATAATTTTTCTAAGAATAATAAAAAACAGGTTATAAAGAAAGTTAAGAATAAAAATAAGAATAAGGATAAAGTTTAAGTCTAAGTCTTTTTAAATGCATTAAGAATGCATTTTTAATTAGTTATAACTGCACAAAGGAATAAGAATATAGTTCTTTAGTATCCTAATAGTGCATTATTAATACATTATTACTAGACTCTTATTTATAATTTTATTCTTCTCTTCTGCAAATCTAATTCTAACTGCTTATTTTATAGCCTAAGAGCCCTTACCTGCTTCTTTTTTAATAATAGTTTAGCTTTTTTTCTTTATTTTTTTATATTATCTTGCTTTTAACTTATAGTTTACGCCTAGTTAAGATAATTCTAAAAAGACACTTATTAAAGAAGTAGAGTACTTAATCTAAATTATTAGCAATTTATTCTTAACTTATTAGTAATAAGTTATAGATTACTTTTTTATCTTTTTTAAATATCTTTTTTTTATAACTGTAATCTATTACTTATTACTCTAAACAAAAAGGCGTTAGATAAGAAGTTAGAAAAGTTATTATTTTTATCTAAAAATAATTATTAACACTTTTAATTGCGCGTTGCAAGTTCCTTTTTAAAAAGTGCTTTTAAAAAATAATGTATTAGTAATGCATTAATAATAAATTAAGGTAATACTTACTCTTTTTATAATTTACTTTCTTATACTTATAGCTAAGAGTAGTAGATCTGTATGTATAGCTAATTCTATACTAAGTTCTAACAGCTTTTTATTAGTAATCTTATTAGTTAAGAATCTTAGCACTATTAAAGTTAGTAATACATTAATAATATATTAAAATTACTTACTAATAGATTGCTTAAAAGAGGGATAACTACCTGCTTATAGAGTTTAACTTATAGTAAGTCTGCTCTGTAGCATTTGTATTCTGTCTTGTTCTATTCTAGACAGCTAGATCTATGCTAGAACAGTACTTATTTACTCTACTAGCTATAACAGGATAGTGTTTGTGTCTTACCTAGTCTTAGACCTGCTTAGTTACATTTAGGTCTTAATAAATTAGTAATAGAGTAATAATAAATTATAAATATTTTACTATTAATAAGTAGATTATATAGAGCATAATACTTCTTAGTAGACTAGCAGTGTTAAAGGGACATTATCTAATGCTATAGGGATGTTAGCTGTTAAGTTTTTTTCCTAATAATGCGTTTTATACTATGTTAGAAGTAAATTATGTAGTAAATAATTAAATTCTTAGCATGCTACTGCTACTTTTAGTGCTATAGATCTATGCTTATAAGATAGCAAGAAAATCCTAATATATTAGTAATGCATTTAGAATGTAATAGGTTAGGTATACCTAGCATCTGCTTTATATCTATATCTATTACTATAACTCTAAAACCCTCTTAGTAGATATAGAACTAGTAGATAGGAACCTAAAAAATCCTTAAAATAGTAGAGAAGAACATTAAAAACATTCTCTTATATAAGATAACAGATTCTTAGTTAACAAACACCTAAGTAAGTGTTATTACTATTCTATTAGAATTACATTCTAAACATATTAGGAATAGGTTTAACTTTACATACTTTTGCTATGCTTTTGTAAGAATGTTGTAAATATAATCTCCTTCTTATCTGCGTTACAGAGTCTTTTAAACCCTATATTACATTTATAAGATTCTAGCTGTAATAACAGCTCTATTTGCTGTTTAAAGAAACAGAAAATAAGTATATTTACTCTATTATTATAGATTTGCTAAATATACTATAATAAATTATTAATAACTTATTAATGTATTAATAATGCTTTATACTTACAGCATTTATGTTCCTAAGATGCTAAGTATAATACTTATGCTTAACACCTGCAATATCCTGCCCCTCTAGGTAGGAGAGAAGTTGTTGTTTATAGATAAAAGCTAATATCTTATCTATATTAGCAAAACTTTAGTAAACATTAATTAATAATTTGCTTTAGTGTTGTAGGCAAAACTTGCAGAGAGCAGAGTTCTGTAAAAGTCTATCTAATATATTAGCAATGCATTAATAATTTTTTCTTATTACTTACTTATTGTTAGCGTTAGATTATTAATCTGTTTAATTATAAAGATTAATCTATTAATTAGCTCTTACAGTGTTTGTTTTGCTAGCAGTAGAGGGTGTGTATGTGTTCTATAAGAGGTAAGAAAAATATACTCGCACTGTGTATAATCTTTTAGAAGAAATATATTATACATGACTTTGCAAGTAGCGTAAAGCATTCAGCTAGCTCCTTAACAGTAGTTAACCCCTAATAGATTAGCAATGTATTTAGAACCTATTAGAGATACATTACTATAATATGTTTTTCTTAACTAATTTTGCTCTATAACAAAACACTAGTTGCTTGTACTAGATTTTTAGTCTTTATTACTAAACTATCCTACTAAGAATTTAAGCTTTAACTAAAGGTTTGCTAGTATAGTCTTAAAGTAGTGTCTATTCTAGCGCTAGCCTGTATAATTAACACAAGCAACGTATTAAATTAGTATATTAGTAATAGTCTAGTATAATGCATTAGAAATATATTAATAATGTATTCTGCTATATTTACTTGCTTTAGCAACTCTCTAAATATAAGCTTGCAAGTATTATTTCTTACTTCTTATCTACATGCCTTTTCTTTCTAGAAAATACTCTTTTAAGCAAGATACTAACTATAATAGTAAGTTTAATAAATTCTAAATATATTATTAATGCATTATAAACCTATTTACTTACGCTTAAACAGTAGATAAATTATAAGTTTTCTGTTGCTCTTAAATTCTTTCTTAGTCTTTAGGCTATAGAGAGGTGTAGGTCATGTTACATATAGATAGACTAAGATACTTACAATATCTAATGCTAGTGCACTGTTAATTATATCTTTAGCATTAGATATTATTAAAGAGTCAGTTTTTTAAAGGGCTTTTCTAATTAAGTTTATAGCAGAATTAAATCTAATATGTTAGCAATGCATTATAAACTTATTAAGAATAGATTACTAACATTTTCTTAAACTAGTTTGTATTGCTTCTTATCTAGGCTAGAGGTTTAGACAAGATAAGCAACGCCATCTTTACTTAACTCTAGGTACTCTAGAAAATCTAGAGCATAGTAAAGCTTCTTTACTGTTAAAATATGCTTACTACCTAGAGTAGATATTAGGATGACGCTATCCTTTAGCTTACAAAGCATAGATTGCTAGTAATCTATTAGCAATGCAGTCTAAATGCATTAGAAATATAATAGCTTATATAAGGGTCTCTTTATTTTCCTTTAAACTAGCAGAATTATTTATTACTATTAATGTTAATATGTTAGGTTCACTTGCAACAGAAACACTATACAGGAAATTAAGGTTGTTCTCCTATGTTGTAATAGGATCAACCCATGGCTGCACAACAGTAGGTGCATTAAAAAGTGCAGCTGCTAGGTTGTGGTTAGTTTAAATATATTAGGAATGCATTAAGAATACATTATAGTCTATAATATTAAGACAACACTTCTACATTTTTTTCTGTTGCGGCAAGGCAGCATTTTAACATTTAGCTGACCTGATGCGGTTTTCAGCTAACGTGGCAAAAAAATGTGGCTTGCCAAGTCACCTTAGCTGAGGTAAGTGGCCCAGGTCAGCTGGGCTGCGCCCTGGGATTGGCAGTTGCTCGCACACCTGAGTTGCTCACTTTTGCCAAGACCACACCACAACAAACTTTATTATAGCCCTGTCAGATTAAAGCACTGTTTCTGGGCTTCCTGAGATGAATGATGGGTTTGGGATATGATGTATAGGATGATGATTGATTGTATTGATTTATTAATGTTTCTTTTTCTTTTTGTCTGCTCTGCTCGTGTTGCTCAGCTTTTGTTTTTCCGGTCCAAGTCCCTCGCGCACTAGCCCTATGCGCGACCAGCTGCAACATGCAGCAATTTGCAGCAACATACTGTTCGAGCTTATTGCTCGTACTATGTAGCAGCTTTCGTCCAGCGTTCCTCCTGTCTTGACAGTAGGTGCGCATATCTGACAGGCTCATAACAACCCACTCTAGCACTATAGAGTACAGTACAGCCTGGAATATTATTTAGATACTACTTCTACTTCTTGCTTACACGTTTGCGCGTTATGCCTAGTCTAATTGCACTGTCCACAGCGCCTTTAGAATTGCTTATCTACTTTAGCTTACACCTGCTTCTTTGCCTTTTTCCTATCACTGCGCGCTCTAAACTTATTTTAAGCTGTTAA